GTTTTGGAGGCAGATCCTCACGTAGTCCAGGCTGGCTTCAAATTTGCTCTGTAGCCAAGGATCACCTTGAACTCCTAACCCTCCGGCCTCTACTTGCTGAGGGCTGGGATCACAGGCAAAGGCCACCACACCCTATCATGGGTTCAGTGTGTGCCTTTTATTAAGATGAAATAGGATCTGCTGGGACTCCAGAAGCTTAGATAACAGCCTTGAGCACGCTTGAGTCTCTTATTTCCCGCCCCTCAGGCCACCTGCCACCAGAGGGTACTTGCTGTCTTCCAGCTTTATCCAAAAGGTGGATCCTTCTGAGACAGGTTCTCACTGTGCCATCCTGTGTAGACCAGGCTGGCCTTGAACTCACAGATATCCACCTCCCTTTTTTAAAAATATATATTTTATTTTAAATTATGCATCTGTGTGGCCACGTGCGTGAGAGTGGGGACACCTGCTGAGACTGGAAGAGGGTGTCGTATCGAGCCTGGACCGGGAGTGACAGGCATGATGAGCAGCCCATGTGGGTGCTGGGAATGGAACTTTTGTTGTTGCTGGTTTTTTTTTTTTTTTTTTTTTTTTTTTTTTTTTTTTTGGAGACAGGGTTTCTCTGTAACAGCTCTGGCTGTCCTGGAACTCACTCTGTAGTAGACCAGGCTGGCCTCGAACTCAGCTATCCACCTGCCTCTGTCTCCCAAGTCTCCCGAGTGCTGGGATTAGAGGCGTGCACCACCATCGCCCAGCAATGAACTTGGGCCATTTTTTTAAATAATATTTATTATTTATTATGTATACAATATTCTGTCTGTATGCCTGAAGGCCAGAAGAGGGCGCCAGACCTCTTTACAGATGGTTGTGAGCCACCATGTGGCTGCTGGGAATTGAACTCAGGACCTTTGGAAGAGCAGGCAATGCTCTTAACCACTGAGCCATCTCTCCAGCCCCGAACTTGGGTCATTTTAAGAGCAGTGTTCTTAACCAACCATTGCTCCAGTACCCAAGTGTTTTTAATTATTAATTTGTATTTATTTATTTATTTATTTATTTAATATATGTGTATGCCTGAGTGTCTGTGTGTCCACTGAGGCCAGAAGAGGACATCAGATGGACCCCCTGGAGCTGGAGTTACTGATGGGTGCTGAGAATTGAACCTGGGTCCTCTGGAAGAGCAGCCAGTGCTCCTAACCACTGAGCCATCCCTCCAGGTCCCAAAAGTGGGTCATCAGAACCCTCTGAGCCCTGTAGGGGGCTGGTAGATCTGGAGAGGGAAGCAGAAGCTAGGGTTGTAGCAATCGGCCTGGCCCCCGTGCAGGCAGCCAGGGCTTGCTCTCGAAGGTGTAGGTACCCAACTAGTCCCAGTCATGAGTCCTCCACATCACCCCAATGAGCCTTCCTTTCCTCAGTCTTTTCAAAGAGACCCAGTAATCAGCAGCAGGACCCGCAGCTTCAAGCAGGTGCCCACGCCATCTGGACCCCTCTCGCCAACATGTGACCTGCCCACCTCATCCCTCCCCTGGAGAGTGGGTCTCAGAGTGCAGGAACTCTGTGGACCCTCTATTGTGCCCATCAGTCACCTACACACCTTTCCACTTGGATTAACACAGGGCTCTCACAAGCTGAGGATAGGCCCAGCAATAGCTGCCCCCCCATTCCTCAAGGGTCAAGGTCAGGGTCTGAGTTGAGCACGTTGGCTTTGGTCCCTGCCTCTGGCCTTTCCAGTTTCCTGCTGTGGGCTCAGCTATGGCATCTCAGACTCAGAGGCCTATTCTGACCTTGGGCTTCTCCCCCCGACCCTTCCTGACCCTCCAGGGCAGGCCCCTCCCCCAATCCCAGGTTCCTCCACAAAGCTGGAGGCAGAGAGGTCTGAGGGGCTGCGGGGGAGCAGAGCTGGCTTCCGTTGGCTTCCACTCCAAACCAAAGCTTAAAAGATGCCACTTCTAATTACACCAGAGTGCAATGTGCCCCGAAGCCTTTTGTAGTAAAGGGTTCTCAATAAATTCAGTTCTTCATTCATTATTATTAATTATTTCCCTGAGTCAAAGCAAGCGGGAGGCAGGGCCCTGCTCAGGCCTGAGCACTCACAATGCTCAAGGGACAAACACGGGACTCTGACGCTCAAGGTCATACTGGATGCTCCTAGGTTCACGTGAGGCTGGCCGTGGGCCTGGACTAGGCGGGGCCAAGGCAAAGAGAACCACAAACAGGAGCGAGGAAGTCTGCAGCTTGCGTGCTATACACTGTCCATCGTGGCCACTGTGAAGATGCTGGCTGTCTAACAAATGGCTTGCAAAATTCCTCCAAATCTCACATCCCACTGCCCTGAGCCCACGGGAGACTCTGACCAGGCTGGGGATGTGGCTATGCCCAGTGGGATGCTTGCCTGGCTCGTGTGAAGCCTGCCTGCCCGGGTTTGAGCCCAAGCACTGAACAAAAGTGAGGGCGGTGCTACACACCCGGCATCCCGTCAGGACTCAGAGGCAGGAGGACCAGAACTTCACATTCTTCCTTTGCTACATAGGGAGTCTGAAGTTAGTGTGGGCTACATAAGACCCCATCTGAAAAATATACGTAATAAATAAATAAGCAGGATAATCATTAGCATCTTGGAAAAAGGTTGGAAAGATCTCCAATGCCCACTAGGTCTAGACCAGTGATTCTCAAGACTCAAGCCATGGCTGGGCAGCGGCAGCAGCAGCAGCAGCAGCTTCTGGGAGCTCATCAAAGACGGAAGCTCCTCCCACCACTCAGACCTGTCTGAAGAGCTTAGGGATGCTGATGACCGAGACACGCCCCATCTGAGAACCTTGCTCTAGATAGAGAAGGGCCGGTTCACCAGGTGCTGCTGGTACTGGGGGCCAGAGTGTTCTCTGTGTGGGGGTGGGGATAAATGGTGACGTGGGTCTTCTGAGTTGCAGGACGCTGACCAACCCTGTATCACCCAATTACGCTGACTGGCTCCCAACTCAGGACATAGCATGCCTAGACACCCCACCCTCAGGGACTAAAACTGCCCCCCCGCCCCCACCCGTGGAGAATCCCTGGCTGGAAGGAGGTCCCCTGACTTTAGATGTCTCCATGTATTTAAGCCACATGCAAACACCCAGACCCAGGTCCCCACGGCAGCTCTGAAATGGTCCTGATGTCACAAGCCGTGTGGCTGGGGGAGGTATTTAACTCTGCCTGTTTGCTTACCTGTAACACAGGAGCTGGGCGGCACAGACCTGCTAGGATGACACCATCTGACAGGACACCTGAGCTGGCAGTGAGAACTCAGACACGGTCCCCACCTAGGGTTTGCTCCCCGTAACAGGAGTGGGGCGGCGTACATCTGATAGGGTGGCTGAACTCAGATATCACAGTCCCAGCCAGGCGTCCTACACAGTGAACCCCAAAAGCACCAGCACGTCTCTGGTGGGTGACCTCAAACTCTCCCACAGTGGGCTGATGCTCTTTGGCCTCACACCCCCACGTTCTGCTGAGAGGCCAGCTGAGGTGGGTGGGTACGGAGGGAACACGGACAGGAGGGTCCTGTGGCCACGGTGCTGGAAGGACTTCTTCTGGGTGCAGGCAGCACCTCATTTTCCAGCCAAGCCCCTAGTGCCATGTTCCATCAACACAGGGCAGCTTTGGGGGATCCTAGCCAGTCCCCCTATGCTGGGCGAGCCCTGGAGGTTCCGGGAAAAGACAAACAAACAAACAAACAAACAACAAACCAGCACCCGCGTGTCTCTTCTTTATCATCTCACGTCCCAATAAAATATTTATTTCAAGAAATAAATCTTTAAAAAAAAAGAGAGAAGAATGTCTCTATTGCTTTCCTCTGACGGTCAAATCCTCGGAATCACAGGTCTCTTGCTGCCCTGGGTTCTGCTGTCACAGGGGCAAACCAGGCCAAGGGGGCACCCGCAAGCCCCACACAGGCTGGTCCTCCCTACAACTGTCTGGGCCCAGGGAGCCTACCTTCACGAGGCTGGGGGGCGGGCCATACATGAGCAATGGCAGTGTTCCTGGAGGCCTGGCTGGACTTGGCAGGCCCTGGGGGTAGAGAGGGAAGGGCGACCCTGGACTGGAGGTGGGCATGCCACTTAGAGATGGGTACTGAAGTCTGGAAGTGGCCTGAGGCTGCGGGAAGCAGGAGGGAATGATGAAGGTGGGGCCTGGATGGGTGGGAGCCATGAAGTCGGCTAGACCTGTGCAAACAGAACCAGTCAAGGGTACCAGGGTGAAACTTCATCCCAGCCTGGCCTGCAGGAGATACCAGGAGGCTGGGAGTGGCGTCAGAGCCTGCAGAGGATGCCTTGGTGGGGATCTGGGCCTGTTTGTTGTCAGAGACTGTAATGGAGATGGCTCCCGGACGGGCAGAGATGGAGGCTGTGGACCAGTCACAGATCATGCCAGAACTGGGTCTCAGAAGAGGCCCAAAGAGAAGCCCACTGGAGGAAGCAGGAGTGAGGGACAGGGAGGAAGGACAGGAGGAGGGCAGGGTCCCTCCCCCAGGTTCCCCGAGTTCTCTGCCGTTTGTCCACACTGAACAGCTGCAGACGGACAGACAGACACACTGGCCCTGCATGAATTGCTGCATCAGAAGAGGAGGATGTGTTCCTCACCGCAAGCGTGGCTGCAGCTGTGATCCATTTCTTGATACCTCCGGTGAACTAGGGGGCAACACGGCCATGTTCTTGGGGATCAGAAAGCCTATCCTGGGCCCAAGAGTGGTCAGGGTCATGTCTCCAGCTGATCCAGACCTCAGAAAGCAAGGGGTCTCCATTCACGTGCTCCTGGGCCCATCAGACAGGTAGGTCAGCCCATCTGCGTAGCCACGAGTCCTGTGATGAGGGCAAGGAGCCTCCTAGGATGGAGCTGCTGCCTCCTCAGCCCCCCTCTTCCTGCTCTTGGCCAGGGAACGAGGCTGCAGCCAGGAGACGCGCCGTGAGCATGGCTGCAGCTCAGAAAGTGCTGGTGCTTGCCAACCGGGGGTGGGCAGATGCTGGGCAGGGTGGCCTCCGACCTCACAGGCAGCCCTGGCACAGGGCCACCTGGCCCTTGAGGAAGTCACGGCACGGGCAGAGCCTCTGGTACTTGGTGCTGGCGCCGGCACAGCTGAAGAGCAGCGGCTCTTTCTGTAGGTAGCACTCTTGGCCGGGTTGGGCAAAGGCGGGGTACAAGTGATGCATCTCCCACTCTGTGCTGTCACAGGGCACCTGCAGCCTGTAAAAGCACCACCAGCAGCATTACTCTTAGGTGAGTGGGTGACAGCTGGCCCCAGCTTAGCATGACCCATCCCCTCCCTGGACCAAAGGTAACACAAGTCGCAATTTGAAATCCATCTGTCAGAGCTCAGAGAACCTATGGGCCTGGAGTCTTGGTGACCAGCGGAGAGATGGTTGGGCAGGGCCAAAGGAGGTGGAAAAGAGCAAGACCAGAAGGGACGTCCTCTGCGGATTTGGCTGATTCAAAAGCATTAAACCCCCATCTACAGGGAAGCCAGGAAGGTGGGAAGTTGGGGACACAGGCGGGGCCTCAGACTCACTTGAGGAATGCATCTTGGCTGTTGAGATAGGGGAAGAACGAAGGCTCGCAGACCAGCCCATGGTCCAGGCAGGCGTCGGTGCAGGCCCTCCCAGGGGCCGCCAGCCAGGCCCGTAGAGAGTGGGTAGGGGGCCAGGCTCCCGCAACTGAGCTGATATTCTGGGCCCACTCGAGATGAGTGGCGTTAGGAGCTAAGACAAAGGGACTCTGGGAGGTGTGGGCTCCTGGTGGAACCGGGCTTGGGCCCGCACAGAAGTCCTGTCAGGAAGAGAGAGGTATTAGGGAAGGGAATGGGTTTTTCTCTAGAGTGCTCAGCACTACAGTTTCAGTAAGGGCCACTACTGGGCACTTACTGAATGCTAAGCAGCCTCAAGTGTTATTCCCGTAATACCAAGTAGCCCAGAGAATGGATGCTAATTATTGCACGAAGCGTAGAGGACGTACGCCAGGGACTCACGACTGGATGGCAGAAGCGGGCTCTGAACTCTCACCTGCTTGGGAGCTGTCTACCCTGCATGACCTCACTTCTGGGGCTGGACACAGGGCTTCAGCCTGAGGCCCATGAGCCTTGCTCAGCACGGGGACAGAGCCTTGTGCTGGCCTCTGAGGCTCTTCTCAGGGATCTCAGATTCTTATCTGTAGAGGGACAGTTCAGAACCGGTCTCCAGGTCCTGACACTCACACCATGGCTGGTCAAAGTGCAGACATACACGGCATCTGCCTAAATTTAACAGCCACAGCCGCTGTCCCCAGGGTCCCAAGCCCCACAGTTCTGCATCTCCTGGTTTTCTCTCAGGCCACCTGCAGCCTATGACAGCTCTGATCGTCGGATCAGGGGACATAAGAGCAGGCCGTCCCCCATTTCTCGGGGCAGACCCCTACTCCAGGCCCCATCTCATTGACTCCCTTGAGGGTGGCGAGCAAGGGCGCCTGTCTATTCCATTCGCTCAGTTATCAAACCGAGAAATGATTTTTCGGAAACCTGGCCTGTGGGGCAGGGTGGGGACTGATATCCTTGACTGTTGCATCCCATCCCTTGAGCTGGGGTCGGGTGGGGATTGGTATCCGTGATGGTTGGATCCCATCTTGAGTCCCCACAGTGGAATGAGGAGCTGGATGAATGGGTTGTCTATGACTGAAGTCTACATAGACCCCAGCATCAGCATGGCCCCAACTTTGAATTCATAGGCTTTGGAGTGACAGCCTCAAGTCCCTGGGGTAGAGGATGCAGGGTGACCCACCTGGTGTTGGATGTAGGCATGGATCCGTTCCAGCATCCCTGTACACGTATATTCATAGGGCAGGTAAGGGTCTACCTGTGGAAGAGATGGGCAGAGGGACCTGGATGCTGGGGCCATACCCGTGGGCGGCAGCAGAGACCAGGTTGACACTCTCAGCTGGGAAAGCCAGCCAACCATCCACCTGGCCCCTCTACTAGCTCACACTGCCTGTTCCCAGGGATGCTCAGGGTGTCAGTTCAGGATTCGTACAGTCCAGCCCTCCGGCTCCACCTTCTCCAGGCCTCATCCTTCCCTTTGTACCACTCCTCTCCTCTTTGCAAAGCCCAGCACTTCATCCCCTCTCGGGCATCACCTACCCCTGAGCCATCCTGAGCCTGCCCGTCCTTGGATGAGGAATGTGTTCTCAGTGGCTGTCAGCACCCTAGCGGTCCTCTCCTAGCACAGGCCAGCTCCTGAGTCACCGTTTCCTATTCATTCCCCATCTCCTGCACGAGCCTGCAAAGCCACTGACGGTGGGGACTGTGGCCTGAGCACCGAGCCCCGCTGGTCTGCCCCAGGAGGTCTGTCAGCAGACGGTCACAGATGACGAAGCACCCACCCTCATCCTGTCTGCCACGCAAGGTACAGAGCATTCCCACCAAGGAGCGCGTCAACAAGCAGTGGTGAAACTGGACGGCAGGATGAGTGGCGTTGGAACACCTAGTAGGCTCTGCTCGCTGGAGACCCTACCTCCTAGGGGGAGAGTCTTTCACTGTGCCACTAGCAAAGGGTCTACCCTTGACACTGTGACATTCCTGGGGGCGAGGGAAGGGGAGCCACAAGTACCTTCAGGATCCCTATCAGGCTAATTCAAACCTCCACAGTTACAGAGAGCTGGAACGGCACAGGTGCGGTCAAGTCACCTTGAGCTATCTTGTCCCCTTAAAAGCCACTGTCTGACCTAATGTCCTTGTGACTATGGCATGACTGCTTTTGGGGTGCAGACCTCCAAACAGACCCCTAATTCTCACCAGCCCCAAAGCTAAGGATAGTATCTGCTAGCACCCGAGACGGTCCACAGGTCCCTGTTTTCCAAAAACCTGCCCAGCCTAGAGTTCCACCAATGCATCTGAAGTATGTTGAGGCATTATTTTCTGTGTGCTTAAACAAAACTCCATGAAACTATTACCACTTTGGAACATGGTCTTGGGGGTAACCTGAATCTGTGTTCTTTTGTCAAGATCACACATCAGAATGAGCAATCTCTTTGAGGTGAGAGTCATGTTTTATGTCAACAATAGCCAAGCGTCCCCAAGAGGGGACAGCCACTGCTCGCTCTGACTAGGTCTTGCTGCCTCTGACCCTCAAAGCAGTATGCTGCTGTTCTGACTGCACCAGGGATGACCACCAGGCATTATGGGTAGACTTCCTCCTCCTGAGGCTGAGGCTCAGAGATCCTCCAGGGCCCACATCCAGTGGCCATGTTACTCCAGTCACCTGCACTGCCTTCTCAGACTCAGCCCTGTCACACCCTGTCTGGTTTCTGAGCTGACGGCTTGGGACAACCTGCAGCCAGCTGCTGCCCAAGCCAGAACCCCTACACTCAGAACAGAGTTCAAGGAGCTACTGAGCTCTGGTCTGGAATGCCTCTCAGGGATTATGGGAGAAGATTTAGAAACAACTATAAACAGCCTAGAGAAAAGGATTCCCCTCCTCAGGAGGCTCCTGGGCTCCAGAGTGACAGCAAGTAGCTCCTGTCACAGGCAACTCAAAGGTCTCCCGTGTGAGGGGCATTTCCAGCCAGACCAGCCAGCTTGAAGCTCCTGCCAGGAGCAGCGGCTGGAGATGACCCCACTGGGTCAAACTGCAGGAGCGGCTGTCATCTTCTGACAGTGACAAGAACTAGTCCTGCGCAAAATGGGTGATGTGGGAGGTCACGCAGAAGTGGCACGTCACCTCCTGTCCTCCCACCTGGAACATCCCCATCTGGACCGTGTGTTCACAGGCAGGAGCCACAGCCCAAGCCCTGCGTTTTCTGCCTGGCCTGGGAGGCTTTGGTCTCCTTTGCCAGCCCCCTGGTTCCTCCTTCCTCCGTCCCTGAAGAAGTGAAGACTTTGTAGAACAAGTCTGGCCATTTGCTTATGGTGGCTACATTCCCCGGAGACCCAGCCAGCTGTTCAGAAACTTATCGACAGTCAGTTAACCAGAGTGCCTGTTTGACACACAGACTTCAAGGCCACGGCTGGTTCTAAGAAATCAGCTTAGGTGGCTAGCACAGGCTCTGAGCTGTAAGTTCCCAGCCTATTGAGGCTATGCAGCCCAGGGTGCCCTGGAACCCCCAACCTTCTTGTCTTAGCTTCCCACGGGAGTGGATCTTTGTAATATTTGAGCCCCTCGGGAATGGATAATACCTATTGGATTCCTTCGTCTTTTGTTCTTATTTTATTCTGATTTTTAGATTAACTAACAAAATTGAAGAGAAGCTCAGGGTTTTGTTTCCTTTTTCTAAGACAAAACAAGACTCAAAGGGTAAATAATGCGACATTCTCTGCCACTGACACCGCTCATCGCTTAGAAGCCACCAGTGTAAGGGACTCCCTGTGTGTGGGGGGGTTGTGTCCTCCCACAATCACCTGCTCCTAAGCCAAGGCAACACATCTGAGTGTATCTGAGACACTTCCAGAGACAGTATTTCTCATGGCTTTCTGTCCATCATGTGATCTGCCACGCCCTCCCCACCGAGATGGATGGAAACCTCTGAAACACTCAGCCCAAAACATTTTAAAATAAGTTTTCTTGGGGAAGCTGGAGAGATGGCTCAGCGGTTAAGAGTACTGGCTATTCTTGCAAGAGGTTCACAACTGTCTGTAACTCTAGTTCCAGGGGATGGATCCCTGTGGGCACCAGACACACACCTGGTACACAGCCATACAGGAAGGCAAAACATTGATACACATAAAAGGAAATACATCTTTTTAAAAAGTGTTTGACAGGCGGATCTCTGGGAGTTCGAGACCAGCCTGGTCTACTGAGCTAGTTCCAGGACAGGCTCCAAAGCCACAGAGAAACCCTGTCTCGAAAAACCAAAAAAAAAAAAGTGTTTGAGGCAGGCTGGAGAGATGGCTCAGAGGTTAAGAGCACTGGATGCTCTTCCAGAGGTCCTGAGTTCAATTCCCAGCAACCACATGGTGGCTCACAACCATCTGTACTGACATCTGGCGCCCTCCTCTAGCGTGCGGGCATACATCGAGGCAGAATGCTGTATACATAATAAATAAATAAATAAATAAAACTTAAAAAAAAGTGTTTGAGGCTCTTTCAGAGAACCTGAGTTTGGTTCCCAGCACCCACAACAATGGCTGACAACAGCCTATAATCCAGCTCCACAGAATCTGACACCCTCTTTTGGCATCTGAGAGCGCTCACACTCATGTGCACGTGCATGTGGGTGCACACACACACACACACACCTATAAATAGAAATAATAAAATAAATACGTTTTTTAAAAAAGAAATAAGTTTTCTCGAAATAAAGTGCTGAGCCTGTAGGAGCCAGCCATGAGAAGCTAAACAGAAACAGATCAGCCAAAGGAAGTTCTTCCAACCATTATCACCTGCCAATGTTGGGCCTAGCCATAAGCTTAAAGGAGACCTGAGTCTCAGTAGTTTACCCTGAAGCAATATCGGGTTGCAGGAAGGACCATAAATTGAGATTACCTGAGCATCACCCAAGAACAAACCATACAAAGGAAATTCCTAATGTTCCAACCGCTGTAGATAGGATCACCTGCCAGCACACACTCACCAGGACACCCCTAGACAAATGTCAGCTAATCAGGGGTCCTGAACCTTAGAAACCCCTCACTCCCACCTTTACTACTATAAAAACCCAACTCCAGCTGAGCTCGGGGCTCTGATTATTCCAATATGTTGGACACATGGAGAGCCCGAGTTTGCAAACTTGTATAAAATAAAGGCTCTTTGCTTATATATACGGGACTTGGTCTCCTTGTTGGCTTTTGGGGGACTTCACGGATATGGGCATACCAAGCCCAAGGAGTGACTGGAAGCTGTGATATGTATGTACGGCCCCCTCTCCCCTCATCTCTCATATGTGCACACACCAGGCCTCCCACACTTGCTAAAGGGGCCCCAGTGCTCCGCTCTTGGTATGCAATAGCCAGTCCCTGAGCCAGTCCCGTGGACATACCTGGACATACCTGTATGACACATGGCCTAGCCCCCGCCAGGTTTGCTGAGCTGAACTTGCAAGAGAGCCAGCGTCTCCAGGACAGCTGCTTAAAGGGCACAGCCCTCCCCACACCTACGGCAGGGCTCACCCCGGAGAACACCTGCTAACTTATGCCAAGAGGAAATGATATCTGACCCACAGCTGCCAGATAAGGGTGTGCAGGCTGCTCAGGGCAGGGAGTCACTCTCTCCCCTTACCCACACACCAAGTTTGGGAGTGGGGACCCATGCCTCCTTTTCTAGTTCACGCGGTTGGATTCAGGATTGTGCTAAGTAGGTCTGGGCTGGACGCCTTTCCAAGGTCAGCCCTGCAAGCCTAGGCAAGTTCCCTAGGAAGTTCCTTTTTCCAGTTATGGGGAAGAGCCGAGGTCACAGAGTCTCACCTGGGTGTTCATGATGGCCTTGACGGCCGCTTCAAACTCCTCCGAGTTGTTAAAGTCGACAGTCCACACGTGAGGCTTGCCGATGAAGTTCTCTGCGTAGGGATGCTGGGAGAACACCTGCCCGGGACCAACAGGCGGCTGCTTCAGCCTGCAGCTGGCCTTGGCTCACGCAGCCACCCTGATCCCTTCCCTCTCCGCACCCCAACGCTCGGTCCCCGTCTCAGGTTCCCAGATCTGGCCCTTCTGCTCACCTCCCTGGAGGTGGGCTTGCCCCGGAAGAACTCGTGGTTGAGCGAGCTGTGGGGTGGGCTGAAGCGAGACTGAAGGAAGATGCAGCCGTTGGCGATGGCCTCCAGGGGTGCTGGACCCTCGTAGGGAAATCCGAACCCTATAAAGAGCTGGAAGCAGAGGACAGGCAAAATGGCTCCACGGGTAAAGGCACATGCTGCCAAACCTGAGAACCTGGGCTCAAACTCAATAAAAGCATGTGTGGAGGATTGCGTCCTGCTCTCCAAGGTTGTAAGAGCGTGATGCTGCGCTCTGACCGGCTCGACTGAGGCGCAGGACCCCTCTGCACTCAAAATACAAACCCAGCGCCCTCCTTACATGGCTGTGCTCCCTCTCCCTTACATGGCTGTGCTTCCTCTGCAGAAGTAAAACCTCTCGTCTTTCATGAAATACTCTGCACGGTGCGGTCATTTTCCTGGGACCCCAGACCCACTCATACCAGCCATGATGGTGGAAGGAGAGAACCGACTCCCAGAAGCTGTTCTCTGACCCCAACTCCCCACCAAAACAAATAAATGTTAAAACAAAAACTGGGTGGGGTGGAGTGAACCAATGATCAGGGAGATTGGGCCACCTCAGCCCAGGACTCCAGAAACCAGAGAGGCAGAGATGGTCTCGGCATTCATAGGAAACTGCAGGGGGCAGTACAGATGAGTCACTGTGGGCTATAAACACGCCTTTCCTCTCCATGGGCCTCAGTTTCCCCATTATGGAACGAGCAGTCTGGCTTTATAAATGGCGTCTCCTTGCTCCATCAAGCAATGCTTTTGGTGGGGAAGGAGGAGGCAGTGTCCCCACCCCCACTCCCACCCAGGCTATCCAGGCTCTGAAAGGACCTTTGAAAGAAGGTGTTAAAATATCCTGTAACTGACTACACCGGCTCCAGGAAGGAGCTTGATAAGTAATTCTGAGACCCGAGCCGCTGTGTAAGGTTACCTCATCCTTCCTCTCCCGACACATACATATCGGAGAGATCTAAGGAAAGACCAGGAGGCACTGGATGCTAGTGGGAGACTTTCAGGGCCAGCCACAGGCTCATCCCCAGTGAACCAGTTGTAGCTGCAGAGATCCAACTCTGGGAGCGCGTAGAAGCAGACCTCCAGAGCCAATGGCCCCATGGAGACCTAGACAGGGTCTCCTCAGCCTGCGTGACTGCCCCTCTGCAGCTTTTACAGTTGGCCCAGCTCTGGGATGAAGAGGGGAGAGCCGGACAGTACAGCTCCCACTCCCAAGTCCCTACCAATGGAGGGCCCAGGCTGCTGATACCTGCGTGTCTGCCAGGATTCTGGGCGGCAGAACACATGGAAATGTCCAGCTTGGTGGATGCCTGTCATCCATGGCTGTGGCCTGCAGGGGTGGGACAGTGGCCTGAGGTCCTAGAGCCTCACCTTGGCCTTACGCAGCAGTTGCTGGAACTCAGGCTGTGGCAGGAGGCCATGGTTCTTCACAAAGGCAGGGACCTCGGGGGGCCGCTGGCTCTCATAGTACACGGTGCCATGGATCTCCATGTACTTGTTCAGGATGGCCAGGAACTTCTCCTTGCCCTGCACAAGGAGGGGGAGACAATGGAGACTCCCTCACACTCAGAAGGCAGAGCTGGTACATCAGGCACCCCGGCTTCAGGGTCAGAAGACAGGGGCTCATCGTGGGGTGATTGTTAACTTGCTCTGGAGACACGGGCAAGGTCCCTCTCCTCTCTGGCCCTCCAGTTTTTCATCTGTGAAGTGCAGGGCTTGAGCTAAACCAGAGGCATTAGGGTTGGTTCTGGCATGGAACTGACTGGTTTCCAAAGATGCCCATGGCGTCTTAAATGTATCTGCGAGTCTAGATGCCCTGAGGACCTGTGGAGCTCTCCGGATCTTCCTCACACACTCACCTATCCACCCATCCGTCAATTCAACCATTAACCTGTCTACACACACACCTTGTTCATCTATCCATCCATCCATCCATCTATCCACCTTTTCACCCCTACATCCACCCACTCATCCATCCATGTCTCCATCCATCCATCCATCCATCCATCCATCCATCCATCCATCCATCCCCTGTCCACCTGTCCTTCCATTGGCTCATCCGCGTATCCCTCCTTTTATCTAGGAAGGAGGAAGGAGGTGGAAGTTCTAGATTGGAGATGTATTAGCTGAAAGAAGTGAACTAGAGTGGCCCCCACAGGTGCCACATTCTGACTTGAATTGTTTCAATTGATATAAATTATTGAAATGACCTGGGACTGTTAGGGCTCCAGCTACAAGCTAGGAATCAAAGCTTCCTCTCTGGAAGAAGATAGCATCAGCTTTGACTTCAAATTATTCTTACGACTTTTTTTCATATTCTTTCCAGAACATATAAAAAATTTAAGGCAACAAAAAAAAAAATTTAACGGAAAGCCCAGAAGGCTTTGCAACAGAAATGAACAGGGTGAGCTAAACCCCATTTGGAAATTCTGGGCACTTAAAATGGATGGAATAACTTTGGAGAAGAATATGAGCAGAGGAGCTACTGTGGGATCTTCTTGTGCACTGTAAAGCCGTCTCTGCCAAGGCACCTTCTGATTGGCTCAATAAAGAGCTGAACAACCAATAGCTAGGCAGGAAAGGATAAGCAGGAAGAAATCTGGGGAGAGGCGGGATTCACCAGACAGAGGAAATGAGACCCACGGTTCTGAGAAAATGTAATGAGCCACGTGGCAGAATATAGATTAATATAAATGGGTTAATTTAAATTATAAGAGCTAGTTGGGAACAAGCCTAAGTTAACATCAAGCTTTTATACTTAGTAAGAAGTCACCGTGTCATTATTTGGGACTTGGCGGCCCAAAGAAAGACTTGTTACACAGAGCAGCTGACCCCAGGTCTATGTGCAGCAGGAGGAGTGGGGCCAGCATGGTACCAGCATCAGGATGACACAAAGATGCAGGGGATGGGACATCTGAGTCCAGACAGAGAGCTCACACCCACAACCGCCTCACTGCTGATTAGGGAGGGTGTTTCTGAGGAGGGAGAACGCACCGTGAACAAGTGATCCCAGGCATTTGCCATCCACACGCGAAGAAAGAGCCAAGGGGTCCACGCCCGGCACCCAGTGTGGTTAACTTGGAATTGGAAGAATTTGAATCTGTATATCCCACCACATGGCAAAGTTAACTCAAAATGGATCATAGACTCAAAGGCAAAAGCTAAAGCCACGAAACTGTCAGAGGGAAGCCGAGAAGAGCTGTGGCTTTGGGACGTGAGGCAGGGCAATAGCGCAAGCACAAGCAAGCTTGTGGAGGTGTTAAAAACAGATCAACGCTGGGCCAGCAAGATGGCTTAGTGGGGTAAAGGCGCTTGCCATCCAGCCAGTGACATGAGTTCAATTCCTGGGACCCACAGAGCGGAAGGAGAGACCTGATTCCTGAAAGCTGCCCTCTGAACGTACGCGTTCACACACACACACACACACACACACACACACACACACACACACACACACTGGCATGATCACACAAAGACTCCAGAAATAGGTATCTGTAGTGTATTCGTGCTCCTCCACCTGTCTGTCAGAGGTCACAGTTGTTCTCTGCTCTCAGCGGGCTGTGATGGCGCTAGGTTCAGGTCACCATTTGTCTTCTGCCAGTGACTGTCTGGGTTGTCTGCTGTACAGGCACACTTCCCCTGGAGCCTGCTGGATGCCTGTCCTTAGTCCGCTGCACTGTGAACTCTGTCCCCCAGCCCCTAAGCTCTACAATCAACAGTCTCAAAGCCACAGCCTCCAGCTGTTTTCTGCAAACCGAGACAGGAAGACCTGCTTAACACACACACACACACACACACACACACACACACGCGCGCGCGCGCGCGCGCGCATGCACACACGCACTCACACACGAAACCCCAGATACCTCTGCACAAAACACAGAAGATACAGGGCCTCCATCCTCCCTCTTCCCACAGGCTCTCCATGGCACCTGTCCAGGACAGGGCCTTCAGCTCTCATCCACCCGTCTCTGACACTTTCTAGTTATAGACACTGGGCAGATGCAGTTTCTTTGAGGTTTCTGATCAAATAGGGCTGATCTGATCTGGGCTGTCTCCAAAGCTGGACTTTCATCTGCCCACACTTCCCTCCCCCACTCTCTGTTGGCCAGGTGTTCTCCCCACTTTGAGCCCCTTCCCTGGTGGCCTCAGCAAGTTCTGCTCCAAGGCTTTCTCTTTGTCCCCAGACATCTCAGCAGGATCTTGGACCTCTGGTATCCCCAGCCACGCCACAAGCCGCCATTATTCTGAGAAGGCTGTGCAGGGCAGCTCCGGGCTCAGCTAGATGTGGTTGTAACACCCTCTCGGCCACTGACTCACGCCATAGCCTGCTGAGCCTCACTTTCCCCTTCTGTAAAATGGGCACAATGCCATCCTCACCACCCGGGAGAAGAGCAAGGAAGAAGGCACTTGCCAGCCCCCTGCATTGCTTGGTGTTGACACAAACGCCAGTCTCCGTTATCATTTATCATGTTGGTGTGCTCGATGAGACACCACCCAGCACCTTCCTCAGCAAGAACCCAGACATGAGGTGGACACACGGTGGCTTGGAATGAAACTACTCCGTGGTGTTCCTTCAAACTGGGTGGAGCCATGTGATGGAGACCCCGTCTCTGGGTGATACAGGAGATAGCTTTGCTCATCCCTCCTCTCATTGACTGGGGTTTGTCTTTGAGGACGAGATATTTGATCCCCAGCCTGTGACAGACTCAGGGTGAAGACTAAACACCATATGTCACCAAGGGGCCACATGGCTCTGCCTGGCCACCCCCTGAAATTGTGAGAGACACCCATCTTGTTGGACCACTATCAACCTGTGACAGCTGACCTAATGTTACCTACCCAATAGGGCCCGAGGATTCTCAAACGAGACAACTTTGTCACGGCTTGGTGCAGGACACTAGTTACACACCCTGGGATGACCGTGACCTTGTCATCTTTCTGGTCTCTAACTCCCAAATCTTGAGGTTACAGGTTTGTTTCAACCACGCTGTTTATGGGTCCTAGGGCCTGAGCTCTGGGTTTTGTACACTCTAGGCGAGCACTCTACCAAGGGAGCCACATTTCCCAGCCCAACCCTGACTTCACAGTCTGCCTCCTGCCTGTCTTCTGTCCCTCCCACCCTCAGCCTTGTCTGTGGCTGTGCCCAGGAACTTGCCTGTCCTCACCGGGACCCAGGGAAGATTGCTCCTTAGACCCTGCTGTCCCCACTCCCTCCTCCCCACCCTAGGACAACCGTGGAGCTAGTGTCAGAGTCCAGGGCACCCTCAGGGACCCCACAGTGCAGTCACTACTGGAGTCAGGCAAAGGCATGCACCTGGGGGCTTCCGTTCCATACCTGGAGCTGCCTCATCACCATGGAGCACAGGGGACAGAGAGAACAGGTTAGTGACCAGAAGCAGGCATCAGCCCTCACAAGTATCCCGGGATGGGGGATAAGCTGGAAGGTAGGGTTCTAATTTTTAAGTCCCACCCCCACCGCTCACCCCACCAAGTTCCACTCTCGCCTAAGTCTGCCTGTGGGATTTGTGGCATTCATCAGTTCCTAAGGTGGGGGTAGAGGGTTTCCTCCGCAAAGCAGCCATGCAGGTCTCTGGGAGCAGTCCAGGGGGCGGGAAGACTGTCACCATGTCAGTGGGGACTATCCTGAACCATTAGGAAGACATAGAGTCTGTCCTCCGGGGTGCAGAGCAGTAGACGGAGCTGCAGCATTCTGGATTCTCTGCAGCCATGCCTGGGGCTTCAGATGAGGACTGCAATCGCATGGGCTTTGCAGAGACAGGGCTGGGAGAATCCTGGAATTGTGTGGCTGGAGCCGTCACAATGTGGATATGATCTGCGCTAGAGCCAGGTGTAGTAGGTGTGGCCAGCACTGTCGCGGATGACCTGTGTGGCTGTGGCAGTCACTTAGCGCAGTGGACATGGCTTGTGCCAGAATGGGTGTGGCATGCACTTGTAAAGGCACGGCACGTTCAGTGGGTACGTCCAGCACGGGCACCGGTGTAACCTGCACTCGGGCAAGCACCGTTCTGCAGCAGACATGGTACGGTCGGCAGAGCAGTGGACCTGCCGGAGCTCACCTTCCAGATACTCGCCTCCTTGCCATACACCACCGCCATGTTGCTGGCCTTGCTGTCTTTGATAAGCTGCTTCTCCGTCTCATTGAGCTCCTCGGACACGAAGCCCATGAAGGAGTTATCTGGAGTGTGAGCTACAGGCCAGCCGTAGAGGGAAAGTCGGGGTTATCAAACAGACATCCAAGCAGCAGCCCCGGCCTCCCTGGATGGCCTCTCCCAGGAATTCCTACTGAGCACGTGGGGACAGCACCCGTGGGTGAACTGGCCTGGACTAGAGACCGCCACAAAGCTCAGAGCAGAGAACCTACAGGGCCACCTGGCTCCCAGCTTGTTTTAGGATGACTGACTTGACTCTGGGTAGCGTAGCCAGGACTACCGTCTCTGCTCAGTCCCTTGTCTAGGGCACTATCTCCATCTTGGCTTCTTTCTCCCACCCCACACACATCACGGCAGGACTTTCTCCTCCACTTATCCCCTCCCCTTATCCCCAGGCACATAGACAGCTGTCCACCTGTCTCCAAAGTTCTTTTCTCTAGAACAATCCTGACTCAGGTCCCATCAGGTTCCTAGACTTGCCCAAGATCCCTCAGGCAGTGCTCCCTCTCGCAGTCTCCAGGCTCCACCCACTCTGCCCTGGGGGCCTGGTCTTTGACCCGACACTCCCTGACCGGAAGTTCTAATACACACCACTCAGTTATTCTTGCCTTATTAGAATAAGGTCAGGCTACAGCGGTGTCAGCTCATCTGTGTCCCCAGCTCACCTCAGTGACCCCAGCCAAAGCACCGCCGCAGTCAAGTCACACCTCCAGCCTTTGTTCTGCCTGGCCTAAGCCCCTCCCTTTTCTGACAGGATCTCCCCCCCCCACTGCTCCACACACCCCCTTCACTTCCTGCCCCCATGAGCCTCTCTAGGGTCCACCAGCCTCCCCTGGGGGCCCCTGGCTGGTTTCCTGTTGAGAACACAACAGAGAATTAAGACAAAGATCTCCTAATTCTCTTCCAGAACCAGAGCCCCAGGCAGGGTCTGGCTTCCTCACTGTCCCTCAGGGGCCAAGTGAGTTTTATCTCTTTTAAATAATGTATTCATTATTTGCTTAGATTTTTCAGAAAAAGCATCATTATTGCATTATTGTTCAAAGATTACCCAATACATACAATTTGACCAACAGATTATATAATCAAAAGGGTTCTCTCCTTATTTAAGTAATGCTTAACTTAATGAAGAAATTCTTTCTCCTGCAACAGTCCGCGGTACTGAGCACAGCCAAGGTTCTAAGATCAGATGTGGGTCAACCTGCCCATCTTAAGAACCAGTTACCAGGTCTTCTCTCTTGTTCCCTTCCACGGGTCTGGCCAGCTCTGGTAGCCATCCTGGGAGATGCTAGGACCTGGAATCCCATGTCTCTAGAACCCCACTGCCTTCCCACATGGGTGGAACTCTGGTGAGTGCTGGCTGTCAGCAAGGCATGCTCAGCCTCCTGGGACACTCCAAACTCCTGTCACCCCACTTCCTACTCCAGATGCTTGAGATCCGTACCCTAGCCTTCCTCGGCAGGGAGAGATGTGCTAATCAGACAGTGGGGCCATGGGGAGTCCCACAGGTGATCTTAGGTTGTCTTTTACCTCCCCTGTGTAACTGGGATGACCCTGACCCTTTGAGTCTCCTGCTTCCGCCTCCTAACTTCTGGGGTTATAGGTGTATGCTGTATACCCTGCTTATATGGCACTGGAGAGAGAGCCCAGGGTCCTGCGCATGCTAGGTGAGCCCTCTGCCAACTGAGCCACATGCCCAGCCCCTGGTGCTTCCCACCACAAGGCCTGGGAATGCTCACGCCCCTTGGCTGGTTATAGACTAGACCCAGGCCTCTTCTTGGCTTTAGGACGTGAGGAGGAGCCCTGCCTGGAGGCCCAGAGCTCTCTGTGTGGGTAACCAGTCTGCTGTCACCTAGGTTCTCCCCAATGTTAGAATTTCCCCTCCCCAGACAGGCAGCCAGACCCTCTCAGACCCTCATGGATGGATGGATGGATGGATGGATGGATGGATGGATGGATGCCTCCCTTCCCTCTGCCTCCAGCTGGACTGGTGGCCTCCCTCAGCTGAGCAGTTGAGGACACATCAGGACTGCCCTGCACTCGACCAACTCCAGCAGAAGGGACAGATTTAGAATATAATTAGCTGAATCCGTCTGTGTGAGTGGACAAGGAAGCATGGTGACCATAAAAATAGCAGGGACAATTAAACAAAGAACTCTAAGGGCAGGTAAAGGTTAGGCCGGGAGAGGGAAAGAGCCAGCCTGGGCTATTCAAGACCCTGTCTCAAAATTCTAAGAACAGAATAATTATAAAGTGAGCAATGTTTGGAACAGAAGCCGAGGGGATCATAAACAATGGGAAAAATTAGAAACATTTGATTTGGGGTTCAGGAAAATCAATAGGAGTTTGCAAGTCTGGAACTCCAAATTCAAAGAGCTTTACCCTGGGACAAGTCTTCATTTTCTCATGCAGGTTCTTTTAAAATATTTTACAGCATTATTAATTGATTAACTGCATGTATGTATATGTGTGTGCCCTTGTGTATTATGGTGCCTGTGTGGAGGTCAGAGGGCAGTTTGTGGGAGTCTGTTCTCTTCTTCCACAGTGTGGGTCCCAGGGATTGAACTCAGGTCATCTCACTTGGTGGCCAGCACCTTTACTTGGTGAGCCATCTTGCTGGCCCTTTGTCTGTCTGCGGTCAGTCAGCACACTGTGCCTGCAGAACACAGTGGCACTTGCCTGGTCCCCCAGGCTCCTGCATCACCTTTGTAACTTCTGAGTGGATCACCACCTGACACTCAAATCCCACATCTTTCCCTACTCAGGGGCCTCTGCCCTCCACTTCATATCTTTTCCCTCCGGACTTCATTCCGCGTTATACCAGAATCACACTCTCCTCTGGGACCCACAGAACTTCCAAAAGCGCTCCCAGCAAAGAGGGGTCTCCACAGAGCGCTGTGTCCCCAGATAGGTCGCAATACCTCTCTGGGCCTCAGTCTCCTCATCTAGAGACTGCAGGGACTGCAGGAATTGTGCTCCCTTTCTGGGAGCTAAAGCAGTCATTACTCACTGCCCATGGTCTCTCACGTCTGCCCAGTGCAGCCTGAACCTAAGCTACTGACAGAAATGCCACGAGTTTGCCGCTTTGAATAAAGATCACATCCTCTTCACGTCCCCGGGAACTGCACGGAACCCACTCTGCTCTTGATTTAGACACCTTCCTAACGAGGTGGCTTATCTGGCTTTCTGGCCCAGAGCCTCTGAAGTGTCACAAATTAGATGCTTACGATGCCACTCTGCTCCCGGCAGCGGAGGGCTACAATTAAGAGCGACAGCCGAGGGCCAGAAAGATGGCTCGGGATGGAGGAGGAGCCTGTTGCCAAGCCTGACAACCTGAGTTCGATACCAGATCGACAGATTCCTGGAGGTTGTCCTCTGACCTCCACACTCTTGCCATGGCTCCACTGCCACTGTCCCCATGTGCATAAATTAATAAATAAAAGATATTTTAAGTGACACCAGATAGATTCTTAATCAAAAACCACACAGGAATAAAATCCCAGTACTTGGGAGGCTGAGGCACAAGTTCAAAGGCAGACAAGAGTACATATTGAGACCATACTGAGATCGTATCTCAAAGTTTTAAAAGTGGGGAAGACTGGTGGTGCAGCTGGTCTAACATGCACAAGGCCCTACGTGTGATCCTCAGCACCAGAGGCAGAGGCGGGGGGGGGGCGGGGGGGGGAATGACAAGATAAAAATGGCCAGCACTCAGCCGGACAGTGACGGGTACACACCTAGCACTCGGGAAGCAGAGGCAGGCAGAGCAGATCTCTGAGTTTGAGGCCAGCCTGGTCTACAGAGCGAACACCAGGACAGCCAGAACTACACAGAGTAACCCTGTCTCGAAAAACCAAAAATCAGCCAACTAAACAAAGAAAGCAAATGGCTGTTGCCGGGCTCCTAAGTCTGACCTTCCTTAGCGGGCTTCACTCCCTCCCTCCATGCTCACCCGTCCGGAGCCTGAAGGAGTTTCTACGTTCTTCACAGTCTTCCAGCTCATCCACCTGCTTCATTACCATCCCTCCCAGCTTTTCTGGTTGGTTTAAGAAGCTTCTGGAAGGCCACTGGGTCCCCTGCTCTGAGCTATGTGGTTCTAAGAACTCCCAACCTTGGGTCAGCCACCAGCCCTGGGCATACCTCATGCAGTCTCTGATTCCTGCTTCTCTTTACCTATGGGGATGGCAGGTGCTTGCTGAGTCCATCCCACTGGCCCAGGAAGAAGGGGCACCCACCCCTGCACACATGGAGTGGGGGAAGACGAGCCCCTGCACATATGGGGAGACCCACCCTGTACACTTGGGGAGACCCCTTCTCTCCCGGTATCACTCACGGAACATGGTCATGAACTGCTTGGGGTTAAGGTTCCAGTAACCCCAGTTGGTCCGGTAGCCGTGTAGTGTGGCATACTCCTCGTGGTTGTATGCTGGCTCTGTCCCAAAAGTGTCGATGACTCGAATTCTGCACCTGTCCTCCCCCAGAGGGAACAAGGATTGAGATCATACCTTTCTGCATGTCCCTGAACTAGGGGCGTCTCTGTGGCAATGTTGTGTCTAGGTCACAGGAGTACAGTACTTGGCGGGAGCTTCACGTAGGGGCTGCCTCACCATGTGACCACAGCAAGAGCTTCACCCTCTCCGCGCCAGTTTCCCTGACAGGAATAGCAGTCCAGCTGCCTCAGGGTCATTTGGTCACTCTTAATGCCTGGCCCCTGGTTGGTACCCAGAAGCCAAACTATCACCTCCACTGGAGGAAGGCTAGGAAATGAGGTGGTATCTGAAGGGGGTGGGGCATCCCCTCATTGCTTAGGTCATTTATAAGTTATGCTTTATTGGGAAGAACAGTGCCCATGAGTTGGGTCCTGGGGACCTGGGCTTGGGAGACTGCCCCAAGCTTCCTCAGCAAGGGTGGCCCCTCCTAGGTTTCAAAGAGGTTCTAACCCTGGCCTCCCTCCTCCACTGTTATCCCCCAGCCCCAAAGCTTCTTCTAGTCTAAAGCCCAGAACTCCTATAGGATCAGCTAACTTAAGGCCAGGTCACCTCTGAGGCTCCAGAAACCCCACCCGCCCATCCTACCCCAAGTGGCTACTCAAGAGAGGCGCTGACATTCAGACACCCCCACACAAAGCTGCCAGCGATCAGCGTTCTTCCGGGTGACCCAGAATCTTGCAGACTGCTGAGGTCGGCAGGATTCCTGATTCCCAGGGAGAGCTGGCGGGACGGGCAGGATGGCAATGCACAGACAGCCCACATTAATAATAAAAGCAATAACGCTGGCCGTCACCTTCCTCTAATAAAAATCACACCGGGTATTGATGGCATTAGAACACGGGAGTGAACAGTGGGGCTCTCGGTGCTAAATGAACCCACTTCTGCTGGCTGCAGCACACTTGCCTTAGCTCCTGGGGCCACTGAGGAAAGGGCATTGGCCGCCTCTCCCACGTCAGGGGCTCTCTTTCCCACCCTCCTCACCCTCACCCCCTGGGATGCCTCGGGCCCTCCATCCCGGTCACCTCCCATCCTACCAGGCTCCAGCCCCAGCCCGCAGAGGGATGGACGGCTCTAGAGGGCTGTCAGCGATCTGGTTGGAGTGGGAAGGTGAAGGCTGAGACCGAAAGGGAGGGGGTCATGTAGTGCTCCGCCCTGGCAGGAGGGAAGGCCTGGTGAAGGGCTGTGGTCCCAAGGGTCCCTGGACTCTCACCGGTACTTCTTGAAGGACAAGCCCATGTGCTGTTTCATCTGCTGAAGGCCATGATAGTCCGTGTAGATGAGGTCAAAGGGCAGAGGCACGGTGAGCGGGCAGTTCCCCCGGCCTGGCGGCACCCCTAAGTTACTGAGAGAAGAGCTCATTAGAGCCTGAACCCTGAGAAACCCACCTTCTCGCCAGTCCTGCGCCCATCCCGTTCCTACAGCCCAGGATGGGAAGCGAAGGGATATGGCCCAAGGGCAGGGAAGGCAAGAGCACACACTCAGAGATGCATCAGATGGGTGGCCCCATACAGCGGTATGAAGTTTTCAGTGCACATGGGCCTCTACCTAGGAGCAGGACACACACACGGAAATCCTCCCAGGCTACTTTGCCAAGCAGTGGGCCTGGCCTCATTCACCTGCCAGGAGGAAGGGGGTTTCTGTAAATCCAGGGGGCTGACTTTGCTCAGAGAACAGCTCTGTTGTTCCAGAGTGCCATGAACGTGAGCCAGAGTCCTCAGGGTCCCTTCCGTGCCCGCTCTGTGCCAATGATTCCAACTGTCATGGCTGACACAGCTCCCATAGGCCTCGGGGACTCTCCCTGCTCCAGCCAGCCATAGCACCGAGTCCCCAGGGAGCAGGGGCCTGCCTGTGCATGGCACTTTACAAACACAACAGTGTTTGCCTGGGACAGGGCTGCTTCCAATGACCCAGAAGCTATGGCTGGCTCAGAAAGGAGTGGTGACCCTCTGCTGTCTGGCAGGAGCTGGGTGTCAGTCATTTCATCTCACTGAAGCCTGAAGGACGTGGCTGTGACCTTGTGGCTTCTTCCAGAGCAACCATCTGCCCAGTGGTCCCCCTGGAGAAGGCTCTAAGCCTTGGCACAGCCACCACAACCGCCGATTTCAGCATGGTTAAGCACTCAGCTCTCTCTCTGTAGAACTATCACCTCCCACTCGGACCCCTGTGGAACTGACTGGGAAGCCCCCCGGCTTCTCCCCTGTGGGCCTGCTCTAGCACTCAGTGAGCATGCACCAGTGAGAGACTGCTGCCCATGGCCCCCTCCACCTTCACCTTATATTGGGCCAGAGTAGAGCCCTGGGCTGAAATAGCACCACACTTAGTGCTGTTTCTGTTTGACACATGCATCACCCCCCTCAGGCCCTCCCATTTAACACGCATCTTGTAGGATATTACAAGGTGCCAAGCCCTGTGCCCCACGAGACTTTTGGTCCTTGGATAATAAGAGTCCCAGGAAGAGTGGCCTGGGGAGGGATGGGGATGTGAGCAGACAGTGCAGGCATCAATCAGATCCAGCTGCTGGGAGCTGATTGGGTGTTGAGAGCAAGGAAGACCATGTCTAAATAGGCCAAGGATGCTAAGAGCATCTTCCCATCTCAGCTTCTAGGGGTGCAAAGTGGCCGTTTAACAAGGTGGGTGCCCCACCCTTTGCCTCTGCCAGGCCATTGACTGCCTGCAGGAACAGGATGCTAGGGTGCTGGAAGAAGCCCCAAGGCCTCCTGGGAGCCCAAGCCATAGGCAACCTTGGGCCAGGGAGGTGATGGGGTCTGACAAGGACAGACTCATTAAAGACAAGGGACCATGACTGATCCATTGCCTGGTTGTGTCTCGGGCTCTCTGGAGTAACTCAGGTGGAAAAGTACCAGCCCAGAACGCACAGCGCTGTCTGTGCACGCTCAGCACATTCCCAGCCCAGGCTGAGGGAGGGGCTGGTGCACACCACCCTCTGAACAAACCACGCACGGGGGTCCCTTTCCGGTGATGTAGATGGCACCTGCCTGCAAGACTGCAAAGACAAGATTCCAGGGTCGGGGGAACTGATGGATATGGTGGCATCAGGGCTGGGTCTGTCCCTACAGGGCACGACAGCAGAAGGGGTGGGGAGAACACCTTCCCTTGCTGAGCTGTTCCCCAATCGCATGTTAACTAATGCCAGAGACAGTGCCATGGAGGCAGGAAAGCAAGACCCTAGCAACCTCATTCCTTATATATAAAACCTTTAACCTGGCCACACAGCCTCTGCCCTGTCTTCTCCTGTGGGGGCTACTTTCCCACGATCCCCAGGTATCACAGAACATAGGCTTCTAAGGCAAGGATGTCCTGATGTGGAATGGGCAAAGAACTCATGAGCTATAGCACCCTAAAGCAGTTCCCAGTCGGAGACTCCATGAAATATTTGGTGGTTATCAATGCTGAACCACCATCTCTACTGTGTGGGGCATCTCTGCTGTGCCTGTCTCTTCGCTCCCAAACTCTTGTAGCAAAGCCAGCACCCACAAAGGAGCCTCTCAGCTGCAGCTCCCCAGAGCACCTGATGAGCGAGGCAGCACCGGCCCTTCTCTTGACCTCACCTGACTGAGAGCTACAAACTAAAGGAACCAGGGACCCTCGCTCTGGTCCTCTCCTTGCAGATGCGAGGAAGGAGGTGGCTCTTCTCCCAGTAGGAATCTGGGTAAAATCTGGATCATGGCGGGTCTGGGCACTGGTACCTACACCTAGGAAATGACAGGTCTCCTCGCATCTTTCTGCCTCCGGGCAACACATGCCACCCTATCCCTGGATCTCCTTGATTTTGTTTAATCTGAGACAGGGTCTCACTATGTAGCCCTGGCTGGTCCGGAATTCCCTATGTAAACCAGACTAGACTTGAATCCAGGGAGATCCACCTGCCTCCGCCTTCCCCGTGCTGGGTTTAAAAGTCACATGACACCACACCTGACTTCCTCGGTTAGTCTTTTTTTTTTAATATTTATTTATTTATTTATTTATTAGGTATACCATATTCTGTCTGTCAGGCCAGAAGAGGGCACCAGACCCCATTACAGATGGTTGTGAGCCACCATGTGGTTGCTGGGAATTGAACTCAGGACCTTTGGTAGAGCAGGCAATGCTCTTAACCTCTGAGCCATCTCTCCAGCCCCCTCGGTTAGTCTTGATTGTCACCTTGACTGGATTTACAGCCACCACGGAAACACATCTCTGGTAGTATGCCGAGTATTGCTTTTCACAAGGGCGCTGGGACCCAAACGCAGGTCCTTGTGCTTGCTCTATGTAAATGAGAGCACTGTGACAATGGCAATTCTAAATAGCATTCAGTAAGATTTGCCCACGCTTCTGCAGGTGATGGGAAGCCCCTCAGTAGGGTTTTGCATACAGCAGGAGCAGCGCTGCAGAGGGACTGGGTTGAAGGAGCAGGCTGGTCCTGTGTGCCTTTTTCAGGGAGGAGGGAACGAGAAGCTGCAGCCTCCTTGCCTGAAGAAGGACTGCTTTCCACCTTCTGCTGATTCTCCGAGGGGAGGCAGGCAGTGAGCTTCATGGCTCCCAAAGGCACCTGAGTTCCAGGGAGCAGAAAGGTCAGCTACTCACGGGGTTGTAGGTTTATGGCCTGTAATTCAAGTACACTTTTATGGGCGATTTTACACTAAGTGGTTGGCTAGAGCTGCCGCTTGAATTGAGAAAACGCCAGCCTGACAGTCTCCAGCCAGACTGCACAGTGGTGGCTCAGGAGGCTGCACACAGTCCCGGTCAGGGGACTCGCCTCATGCCTCAGCGTCACTAGTACCACCAGCTCTTGTTCCACGGACCCAGAGTCACAGAATAAGATGTCGGAGCTTGCCGAGGAAGGGTCGCTCCACTGGAAGTTTTTAGAACTGCCGAACCTGGTGGCCGGAGAGATGTCTTTTGGATCAACCACCTGGGTGGAATCTGCACATGCAGAAAGGCCGGCGAGAGAGCTCCACAGGTAAAAACACCTGGCGCCAAGGCTGATGGCTTGAACTTGATTGTGGTAGAATGCTGACTTGAGCAAGTTGTCCTCTTACTTACACACAGACACACACGCAAGCATGCACACACACACACACACAATTTAACACAGGGGTAGGGAGTGGATAGAGTGGTTGCCCAAGGACATGGGACACTCTCATAGGTCACCTGGGTCCCTCCACCTCTTTGCTCAATACAAATCAATCCACCCAGAAAAGCAGCATCCCGGGCTACAGAGATGGCTACCGGAAGCCTAGCTAGCATGAGGAACTGAGTCTGTTCCCCAGCCGCCATGTAAAAACATGGATACGGCGATGCACATACATAATCTCAGTGTTGGTGAGGTGAGAGAGGCTGATCTCTTAGGCTCTGTAGCCAGACAGCCTAGCCTAGCCAGCTAGCTCCAGGGCCCAGTGCGAGAACCTTTCTCAAAAAACAAGGTACAGGCCTGAGAGGTAGCTCAATGGCTAACGTGCTAGGTGAGCAAACATGAGGACCTGAACATGTAACCCCAGGACCTAGAAAAAAGCTTCACATGGGGCCTGGGGAAATGACTCAGTGGTTAAAAGCACTTGTTGCTCTTTCAGAGAACTCATGGTCAGTCCCCAGCACCCACCAGGTGGCTCACAACTGTCTGTAACTCCAGCTCTAGGAGATAGGATGCTTTGTTCTGGTTTCTGTGGGTACCAGGCATGCATGTGGTGCTCAGACATATGTACAAAGCACTCATAAATGTAAAATAAAAAAAATAAATCTTTTTTGGAAAGTTGAACATGGCAACCCAAGCCTGAAACCCCAGCTCTTGAGGGTGGAGGCAGAGGGATTTCAGGAGCGCTAGGTAAATCAAGAGACCTTGTTTCAAAAAGTAAGGTGGTGGTGGCTAGAGAGACGGCTCAGCAGTTACGGGCATGTCCTACTTTTGTAGAGAACCTGAGTCTGGCTCCCAGCACCCACAGTGGATGGCTCCCAACAGCTGTAACTCCAGCTCCAGGGCATCCCATGCCTCTGGCCTCTGTCAGCACCCAAGTTCACATCCACACAGAGACACATACATATAACTAAGCATAATAAAAACAAATATCTTTATAGAATAAAGCGGCATGGTGATAGAGGCAAACACTGAAAGTACACATGTGGACCAGCATGCGTACACACATGCATGCAGGTAATCACACACACACACACACACACACACACAAGTGCACATGCACATACAATGCTGGCTTCTGGGAAAAGGAGGAACAGACCTACAGTATTCTAGGGACAGTCTTAATTTTGCAAGATCTGAAGCCATCAGGCTGTACCCTGTAAAATGGTTAAGACAGCACATTTTATGTGATGTGCATTTTACAATAATTA